TAGAAAAACAATCTTTTCTTTTGTTTCCAGAATATAATATTGCTTAAAGGCATTTTTCGCTAAAATTCTTTCCAGATATTTAAAAAATTTTGATATTTAATTTTTTGTACGTTCGATTTGGTATCTCCGATTTGCCATGTTGGGCTCATCCTTTTGCTAACAACATTGCATTCTTTCTTCTTGCAGTTGATGTTTAATTTTTCTTTTCGTTTTACTTCACTGGCTTTTGTAGGAGTTTTGTAGTTTTCCTTTCCGTGTCTGCTATCAACACTGTGTCATCTGCATACCTTATGTTAAAAAATGGCCTCCAATAATGAATCCTGGTAGGACTTGTAATTCTCTCAGAATCGCTTCGCCGTGTTAGCGGAATAATTCCAGTGAGAAGACACAACGTTGTGTTACACCTCTTTCTAGTTTTATATATCTGCTGAACTAATTTTCTCTCCGTATGCAGGCGGTTTGCTGCCAGTATAAAATCATGATTATTCTAATATCTTCCCCAGATATATCAGGGTTGCTGAGTAGTCCCAATATCTCGCACAAGACTTGAGTATATACGGTATATTGTGTATTGGGGATATTTGGGCTCATCCTTTTGCTAACAACATTGCATTCTTTCTTCTTGCAGTTGATGTTTAATCCTTTCTTCTCGCTTTACTTCACTGGCTTCTGCAGGAGTTTTGTAGTTTTCCTTTCCGTGTCTGCCATCAACACTGTGTCATCTGCATGTCTTACGTTGTTAAGATTGTGGCCCCCAATAATGAATCCTGGTAGGACTTGCAATTCTCTCAGAATCGCTTCGCCGTGTTAGTGGAATAATTCCTGTGAGAAGACACAACGTTGTGTTACACTCCTTTCTAGTTTTATATATTTGCTGAACCCATTTTCTATCCGTATTCTGCCTGTATAGAATCTTGATTATTCTAATATCCTCTCCAGATATATCAGGGTTGCTGAGCAGTCCCAATAGCTCGCACAAGACTTGAGTATATACGATATATTGTGTGTTGGGGATATCGTTTAACTTAAGAAGTTTGTTAATAAAGATTAAAAGCAGAACTAAGGATTAAGCCCTAGGGGATACCAGCATTAGTACAAAAGGATCTATAAAAAGGGGGCCGTTCAGGATAACTTTCATTTTACGATTATATAAGAAAGACTGAATTAGTTCAAAAATTTGTCCGAAGACACCATCATTTTTCAACTTGTAAAAATCGGTATACCAAACCCTGGCGAAAGCTTTCGCGATATGTCCAAAGCAGAATATTTCCATGGTAATTGTTTGGATAAGGTATTTGATATGGTACCTAGAGTTTATGAATTCAAGCGCAGTACTAGATTGGCGGTAAGGTCTCTTTATTTTATAGCTGAAATGGCTAGATTGAACCGTAAGTTCTATGCTAACGGTTTCTTCTCTTGCACTTCCCGCTCATGGCACCCTCTTCCGGTCTCTTGCTTCCCAGTCAACTTTGATCTTCAAAAATCGAAATGCAATGTAAATCATTATCTGTCTTCTTAATTCCTGTTCTTTTATTGTTCTCTCTCATTAATAGAAGATTTTTTTTCGTATTTTCTAATACTCAGTCATCCCTTGCGTCCTAGTAGTTTTATTGCCTTGCTTGGGGGTGGGGATGATTAAAAGGACAAACAAAAAAACAAAAAAAGAAAAAGCCAGCAGAGACATGTCATTGCGTACAATATCGTCCTGTTTTTTAAGGTATTTTTTATTATAATATTGTGACGGGACATCGTTTAACTCTGTTACAGAATACCCTATCGAAACCAAAATTGGCTGTACCCATGAGAAACAGCTGCTTTCTTATTGTTTTATTATCTGCGTCCCTTCACGGCTCTCCACAACTTCCTATCCCTTGTAGTTCTTAGCAGCTTTTCTCTGTTTGCTAAGGTACCTGCTACCCACGCCCGTCTCCTATTCGTTTTCTCATTATATATTGAAAGTCAAGAGGGACAAAGGAAAGCACTCGATTTTGTGTTAACAGTCAACAGGATTAGGGGTGATATTTTTTATAAAACAAGAACTAGAAAGGACAGGAAATTGAAAGCCATGATCAGGTCACATTAAGAAGAAGAAGAAGAAGAACGAAGAAGATGAAAGAGCTAAATGAATGACAGAACAGGGTTTATGGGATTAAGGGTGAAGTTTTACTAAGAGCTAAAAGGACAGGAAAAGCCATGATTGGCACATAGAAGAACTAGAAAAGGAGGAAAAGGAAATGAAAGAGTGGAAATGAATGACAGAACAGGGTTTATGAGAGCTAAGAAAAAAGTTTTTACTAAGAGCTACAAAGGAAGAAGAAGAAGAAGAAGAAGAAGAAGAAGAGGAGAACGAAGAAGATGAAAGAGCTTGTGTAAATGAATGACAGAACAGGGTTTATGAGAGCTAAGAAAAAACAAGTTTTACTAAGAGCTACAAAGGACAGGAAATTGTGGAGAGCCATGATCATGGCACATAGAAGAAGAAGAAGAAGAAGAAGAGGAGAACGAAGAAGATGAATGAGCTTGTGTAAATGAATGACAGAACAGGGTTTATGAGAGCTAAGAAAAAACAAGTTTTACTAAGAGGTACAAAGGACAGGAAATTGTGGAAAGCCATTATCAGGTCAAATAGAAGAAGAAGAAGAAGAAGAAGAAGAAGAAGAATGAGCTTGTGTAAATGGATGAGAGAACAGGGTTTATGAGAGAAAACAAACAAAAAAAACAAGTTTTACTCAGAGCTACAAAGGACAGGATATTAAGGAGAGCCATGATCGCCCACGTCCTGAAGGGACACGGTACATAGAAGAAAAAACGCCGGTGCGATAAACAAATTAGCGCTTAGTGCCATTTCCAAACCAGTATAAATATATGTAATAGCGTAAAATATGATTTGTTCTGTGATTTTTTTATTGTGTGTTGGGGGTATTTAATCTGAACCGCTGAGTATGTAATCGAAGCTAAAATTGAGGGTACCCATGAAAATCGCCGTCAGTGTCTTCATAGTCATTTATTTCAAGTAAATAGCAGTTTCCAAATTTTGTTTCCAAAACGGGCCAGTACAGCCAAGCAAGAAGGCTAGAAGAAGATAGCAACGAAAATGTTAATCAAGGTGAGATACATTAGATAGATAGATAGATAGATAGATAGATAGATAGATAGATAGACATGAAAAGAATTACATACATTAGATAGATAGATAGATAGATAGATAGATAGATACATACATACATACATACATACATACATAAGATAAATACTGGTAGATAAAAATGATAATTGATTTGATTTTGGTTTTTGACGGTTTATCAACCTTTTGCTGGTAAAAGCCAGAAAATATTTTGGGATTGTAAGAATTATTTTTTAGGTAATAGCAATTTACTGATAAAAGGTCTACTATTTAAACCATAGTTAGGGGGACAAGAGCTGATAAAACCAAATAAAGAGAGAACCGATTACGTAATGTTTGTACACACAGACAGATAACCTCGTTTATATAAAACAGGCTTACTCCGGTTTTCATGCGATCAGCGCAGTTAAGCAACGTCGAGCTTGGTCAGTACCTAAATGGGCGAAGGTTTGGAAATACTAAATGCTATAAGATTGGATGTGCAGGTGCCGTAATGGATAACGGCTCAGAATTAGAGATCGAAGTGCCGAGTTCCAATTCCAAACGGGTTTCTTATATTCCTTTACGTGAAAATACCCTTAGGAAATGTATGAAACGATCTCTTCTCCCCTAGCTATGGATTAATTAATAGAACTTGTATCGGTAAAAATCACTATGTCAAAAAAAATTCTTACAATCTAAAAATATTTTCTGGTTTTAAATAATCTGCAAAAGGTTTATAAGCCGTAAAATGCAAATCAATCATTCGATATATTCATTTTCAAGATTTCGAACTGACACACAAACTTTGAGCTTTATATATTAGAAAGCATAAAAATGAACAGAAAGTGTTATTTACCTTTAACATGGCAGGTATCACTATTGGTATCAGGTTTGTCTATGGAATTGGTGCGTTTTTAGTACAGGTTCTTTCCCAGCGGTTATACTCTGTGGATGGTTGATTCAGTGCAGATAAGGTCCTCAGAATTAAGGGTAGCTTTCCCGCATCCGAATGTCAGTACCTTGCAACCTCCCGTCGCAGCAAGTCTTGAATGGTTTCCTCGGATTCAATGGTCGCGTCGGCAGCTACTGATGTCCCGGTGGATTCCATGTCTGTCGCCGCCGTCTCTGGGCGACCACTGGCCACCAGTGGCCACGGCTACCTGAGCCGGCAGACAAGATTAAGTCCCAGGCCGTCTCCTTCTTTATTCTAATCTTGACACTAATCAGAACATCCGATTTTAGGTGTCCGCTTACATTTGCTATCTGAGTTATCCGAGGGTGGATGGGTGGGTGGGTGTAATGGACGCTGGGAAGGAGACGGCCTTTTTGCGACTTTGCAACGCTATTTTTTCCAGCCACACACGTGCGTGCGCGCGCACACGCACACACACACACACACACACACAGATATAAACAAAATGAGATAGGCAGATAGGTAACAGAATGAAACAGATAGATAGATAGATAGATATGAAACGAATTACATACATTAGATAGATAGATAGATAGATATGAAAAGACTTACATACATTAGATAGATAGATAGATAGATAGATAGATAGATATAAAAAGAATTACAAACATTAGATAGATAGATAGATAGATAGATAGATAGATAGATAGATAGATAGATAGATATAAAAAGAATTACATACATTAGATAGATAGATAGATAGATAGATAGATAGATAGATATGAAAAGAATTACATTGCATAGATGTGAAAAGAATTACATACATTAGATAGATAGATAATGAACAGACTAATATAGATAGATAGATAGATAGATAGATAGATAGATATGAAAAGAATTGCATACATTAGATAGATAGATAGATAGATATGAAAAGACTTACATACATTCAATAGATAGATATAAAAAGAATTACAAACATTAGATAGATAGATAGATAGATAGATAGATATGAAAAGAATTGCATACATTAGATAGATAGATAGATAGATAGATAGATAGATAGATAGATATGAAAAGAATTGCATACATTAGATAGATAGATAGATAGATAGATAGATAGATAGATATGAAAAGAATTACATATATTAGATAAATAGGCAAATAGATATGAAACGAATTACATACAATAGATAGATAGATAGATAGATAGATAGATAGATAGATAGGCAAATAGATATGAAAAGAATCACATACATTAGATAGCTAGCTACCTAAATATAGACAAATTGATATAAATATATATAGTTAAACAGAGAAATATCAACAAATTGAAATTGCTAGATAGATCGTCTTATTTCTTTGTGCCGTGTCCCTTCAGGACGTAGACAATCACGGCTTTCCATTTCCTCCTGTCCTTGTAGTCCTCAAATATCTCTGACTTTTTGTTATTTCTCCGAGACCCTGTTCTGCCATCCATTTACATAAGCCTCACTATGTCACGTGTTGCTTTCTCTTGTCCCTCGTTCCATCTATCCGCCTTGTGAGTGTCAGACTTTCCAAGCCCTCTTTCTTATTACGTGTTCCAGAAATTTCAGCTGCCTCTTCCTGAGGTGAAGTATGAGTTTACTTTGCATAAACAAATTGAGATAGATAGATAGATATAAACAAATTGAGATGGATAGATAGATATACAAACACTGAGTTATATATACACACACATGTATATGTATATATTGATATAGATAGATATAAACAAATTGAGATAGGTGGATAGACAGATATAGATGTAAAGAAAATATGATAGATAGATAGATAGATAGATAGATAGATAGATAGATAGATAGATATAAACAAATTGAAATGGATAGATAGATGTACAAACACTGAGTTATACACACACACACACACACACACATGTATATGTATATATTGATATAGATAGATATAAACAAATTGAGATTAATGGGTAAATAGATTGAGATAGATAGATACATAGATATAAAAAAGAAGACTGATAGGTAGATAGATTGATTTAGATATAAACAAAATGTGATAGATAGATAGATAGATAGATAGATAGATAGATAGATAGATAGATAGATAGATATTGAATAAAATGAGATAGATAGATAGATAGATAGATAGATAGATAGATAGAAAGAAAGAAAGTAGCCTATAAAATGTTATTTCAGTAAAAGAATTCTGCAATATCATGGATAAAAATAGGAAAAATTTGTCCGTATCTTACCAAAAATAATTCAATAAAAATAAAAATACTTTTTTCGAATAGTTGGTAACTTCATAATTTAATAAAAACACGTTATTTTCTTTCAGGTCGGAAGAAAAAATCCTTATTTAATATGCATTTAAAAAAAATAACCTGTAATTCTTTATTACGATTTTGAAATTCATCCATATTTGCTAGTAACGTGAGATTAAAAAACACTTTTAATTACTTAAAGACTTGTTTGAAGAATCGAAAAACTGTAACGTTTAATGCCATTTTCGAGCATGAACATTTTTTTAAAAGAATTTTAATTTTTTAAAAATTTTAGCAAATGTTAGATTATTATTAGTATGGATGTTCGAAAAGGAAATAATTCTGAATTCCTGTCTGATTGAATACTCTTACCCCCTTGAAGTGTAATATGATATATAATAAGTCAGAATAATTATAAATGATCACATTGAGTGCAATTAAATATTTTATAACAACAAACAGGTAAGAAAATAATCAGATAATAAAAGTGATGTATAAAACTCAAAAGTATCTTTTAACTAAAATAAGAAAACTACTTCTAATGTAATGGGAAAAAATTATTCATTCTACTAAGTTTAGGCATGTTCAGTACTTCGCTAAAAAAGCGCATACTTTGATGAAAAATGGCCGCAAACTTAATTAAACAATTTTTTTTATCGTCTAAATGTTTATGTTAATATGAAGAGGAAAGCCCAAAGTATTTTTTGAATATTTAAAAAATTTTTTAATCCTTTCTAGCACGTCCGAAATTTTAGCTAAATATCTTGTTTTTTTTTTAAGTCAACAAAATTTGCATGAAATCGATCATTTTTGACAAATTTGTAAACAAAAGTGAAAATCTCCGTTTAAAAATCTTGTAAAAAATTTAATTATACTTTTTCGGGAGTTATTTTAGGAAAATTAGAAAAATTTAAAGTATACTTAAAAGTAATTTGAAACAAACATTACTTAATTTTTTATCAGAAAAATTTTTTTGGAAATACAAGAAGCATGTCTAACCGTGGTGATTGGTTTTGGAGGTGTGAATTGACGTTTACGTCAATGTATCAACAACTAACGTCAGGGCAATTTATCGGACAGAAGGCCAGAAGTGACAGTATTTTCAAATTTTAAGTGAACCATCTTATTTAGCTATAAAGTAATTCTTATAAATTAAATACTTTCAAAAGTCTAATATTTTATTGATTTTTAGGTACCTTTTTAACAAAGATATATTCAATGCCTGCACTATTTCCGTCCTTAAAATTGAATCTATAAAAGAAAAACAAATAATTGCAGTATATCTGTCACCGAAAAAGAAAAAAATTGATTATATTTAAAAAAAAAAAATGAAAAGAATATATTTAGTGAAATATGAAAACAAGAAAATTAAAAATGTTGAAAATGCGACGATGATGGTCGGTCAGTCAGAGAATTTGACACGAAATCAGCGCAATTTATGAAGCCGGATCCTCGCTATCAGGAGAAACAATCTTAAAACACTGGACATTATTTCTGAATTGTGCCTCCGTAATTTTGCCGGAAACGTTTTTAATACATTATTTTAACATATTAAAAATTATTGTAAAAATACAAACGCTTCGCAGATTGCAATAAGCTTTTAAATTTATGATCTGTAAAAATAGATCTTTTAATAAGAGAATTTCCAGAGATGCACATATATTCAAACTTAATATCGTTCCCATTTCTCAAAATATACATATCTACTCTGTGTCGTATGCTAACATAAACAAAGAAAACCTTTTAGAAAATAGATTAAATCCAACATATTCTTGTTTGTAGGTCTTGAAGATTGAGATCTGCCTTTTAAGAGCTCTCATGAAATAAAAATTATTATCTATGGGATTTTAAGTGTTTGATATTCTTTAATTAATAATAATTTTGCTCTGTCTTTTGACATAGAACACTCCCTGGATCTACACCCTTCTGGAAATTTCATACGGATTGCCAGATTGTATTATTACAATATATATATATATATAATATATCAATATGTCTATAATTTAATGTATCAGTTATTGCTACGTTTGGGTCGTGGGAAGGGATGCATTTTTCAATGAAATCTAACTTCCGTTAAAGCCTGTCGTCTAGAATTTTTTAAAATTATATTGTTAACGGCTAAAATTCTTACGGCATATTTTTTTTTCCGTATATTTAAAGTATATTACGATTTTTTAAAATTTTATATTTAAATATTACTAAAGTAAAATTTTCATTTCTCCGATTTAGTAGACTTTATTATTATTTCTTTCTTTATATATATATATATATATATATATATATATATATGAAGAAAAATTTGGAAAAAACAAACAAAAATCCTTAAATGCAATTATGTTGTTTAAAATGAATGAAATGTCGACGTCTGACGTTTCGGTTTAATAAACCTTTTTCAAGACAATATTCATTAAAATACAATTCAGTTCAATTTGACAAAGACGATGGACATAAACAACAAGTCTTATCCAAAACAGATAACTGAAAATTTTAAAAATGATCAGCTTTCCGTTTAGCATGGTCACGTTGTCGTCACATGGGCGACGCTTTTTTAGATTTTAGATCCTAATAGAATTTTTTTTCATTTTCTTCTTCATTATTTATTATTTTTTTTATTATGCAGATTAAAATTTTTTTCTTCATTCTGTCGGATCTATATCCATTTACATTTGCTTACATATATATATATATATATATATATATATATATATATATATATATATATATATATATATATATATTGGGAAAGGTATGAATCCATCTTTTTCTACATCTATGTGTAAATAGTAGGACAGATTGGGTCCTATATACTTGGGCGGCTATCAGCCCAGGAGAAGGACAACTCTGAATTAAAAACAAAACAAAACTGAGTATGGTCGTCTGGTGGGGGGGGACACTATGAACATAATTTCTGTACAAGACTTCACTGCTATAATCAAAAAATATGCGTGGCTAATCTGGCTGTTCAGTTCTAAGTACTAAGTTGCTGTATTGTCATACGTCGAAAACAACGAGAGAGAGAGAAGTATATATACCGTATTTGACGGCCTATAAGACGCACGAGTGTATAAGACGCACCCCAATTTCAGCAGGGCAAATCAAGAAAAAATTAGTAAAATTATTAGTAAATGTTACAGCCTAGGCTATATTTATGGGGTATTATTTTGCAAATTAAACAAGCCATGATTACAATTAAATGAAAAATAATAGGAAAAAGAATATGAGCCTATAAAAAAAAAATTATATCCAAAGGTAAGAAAAATTTGGCTAAAAATCGAGCAATTATTGCAATTGAACAAAAACAGTACAGTTACCATTAAAATTCAGTCAAAAATTTTTACCTTATATGATCTGTAGAACTTGTGTCTTGTAAACGTCTTAGTGGAATAATTAGGATATAAAAAATCTGATTGTATTTTTACCAATGCAACCGGAAGTTATTGCAAGAAAAATATTAATCAAACAAATATATTTTACAAACATATAATTTGAATTTATTGCATATAATTTTAGTGAAACAGAGTACTAATATTAAACGTGATGAAATTAATATAATGAATATTATCAATGATAACAATTTTATTCTGCATAATAAAAAAAATAATAAATAATGACATATAATGTATATGAAAGTTACTCTAAAGACTAAGCTAATAGGAGTTGCCAGGTAGCTAATTTCGGCCGACTATCACGAATTTTAAACCTACATATGACATATAAGACGCAGGGGAATTAAAAAGAATATTTTTAGTAAAAATAAGTTCGCCTTATATCCCGTCAAATACGGTAATATTATAGTGGGTTATCAATTATAGTGAAGTGTATGAGTGTTGAAACAGATGAATTTGATTTGGCCTTGTTAGTTAGATAGCCCACCATAAGAGGAATATAAAACAAAAAAATCAAATTGTAAAGTGAAATAACAAATTTATATACATATACATCAATTAAGGTCTTTACAAATAAAATTAATGTATTTTGCTTGATACAAGGTCATCAAAATGTTCATAGTAGTCCTTCCAAGAATGAGTTTATGTGTACGTAAGCAGGGACGTATGTATGTATGTATGTATGTATGTATGTATGAGCGTTGTCGTAGGGTAAGAATGTCTTTGAAGTAATCGCTCAGTCTTAAAATGTTCCGTTTGTTTATCAAGTATAAAAGAGGTGAGGGAGAAAGATAGAGATAATAATAACGATCGCTTGACGTTTGTCAAGGGATGTGTTAATACGCTCGTCTCCTCCTCTCTGGTGACAGGCGAACTTGCCCGTCTTTTATTTTGTTTGAGGGGTTTGAAAAGGTCATTTGAGAATTCACTCCCGGGTATGATTTGGGCCTTTACATTGGACGACGAACAAACTTCGCGTCGGCTCGCGAATAGGTTCGTAAAAGAATTTTGTTTTTAAATGTTTCCCAGTTTTCTATTGGCTGAAAAACATTTCACATCAAGGTGTGAGATTTCACGAGTTTTGTTTTGGATTCGCTTTTGCGTGTGTGTTAAGCAAAGTTTTTAAATTCGAGTCTTTTTAAATTTCTAACAAAATCAATGAGTCAGTGCTTAGCATTTGAATTTTAAAATCTAGATCTTGTTTTGTTCACTACAATATCATAGAAGACCCTTTCGTCCTATAAGCAGAATGTACATTCTCATGACTTTACTCTTTTAGGGTTCATTTGAATTCTCATTTTGGTTTGGAGAGCTTCCCTCGTATTTGTTGGTCCAGGGCATATTGGAAGAATGGAAAATAACTTGTTGCTGTAACAATGATTTTTCCATATATAATTTCTACTATTTAAACCATAGTTGGGGGGGGGGAGAGGAATCGGATTCATACCTTTCCCAATGGTATTTTGGCATAAGTGGATGTAACGGACTCGACTTGACTTGAATTCGAACTCGGCTTTCCGATTTTTAATTCCATTACACCACCCGCACACCCACAAACTTACAGCACCTGGTATTCCCAAACAGTTGTACATCAATTTACTAACCAGCCTCGACGTTGCTTAACTTTGGTGATCGGGCGTGAACCGGTGTTTCATCGGGATTTGGCCATAAGTTTTATAAATATATATATATGCTAGCAGCCATACCCATCTGGTCGATCAGAAAAAGCGTTCAATTAGAATGGAGCAAAGACAGCATCATGTTTAGATGTCACAGAGTCTATCTTCTTCACTTTAAAGGACTTTCATTAAAAAAACATTTTAAATTAAAGAAGTTACTTATATAACAGAAGTAGTCTGTATTGATTCAATTGAAGTTAGCCGAGGACATGAAGGGGTAAAACAGGCAATATGAAGACCCACTTCAGACCACAATTATTTTGGAGTTTTTGAAATTCAATTTGTCTTTCTGTTACCAGGGATGTAAAGGAGGATACATTTATAAAGAAATTGTTAAGTTTGATGAAAATTAGTTGAAAGATCAACGAAAAATAAGAAAGAACCCATTTACGCGGGTTTTCACTATATGGGTGGATTCAATTATCTAGTTAAATAACTGTTAAATAATCGACTTATTGTTAGCTACAATTGAGTGAATTTTGTATTAGATTGCTTGAAAACTGAGGGAGTTTTTAGTTTAAAATTTGAGTTGAAGTCCAGTTGTATTGAAATCGATTTTTCGTTTTTCGCGGTTTTTTGCTAAACTTAGTGGTGTAGAAAGAAAAATGAGGTATCATTGAGCATGTCATGAGGTAAGTAACCTACATTTTTTTAAAAAAATGTAGGTTACTTACATTATTTTTTTTGATTTTTTTACAATTATCTATTTTTCTACGCTAAGAACCCATCTCTTACATATCACAATATATGTGGCAAGTTTGGTCAAAATCGGTTCGATGGATCTCGAGTGAAAAGACAATACACAGACAGACAAATAGACATCCTGTTTTATATATATATATATAGATAATTTCTCCCCTGGCGAGGTGATAATGCCACTAAGACGCAGGGGATTACTAGGGTTGGAAGATAATGTGGCGACTTCAGTGAGGAGAAGGACAATAACGGAACAAGATTCAGGAAGACAGAAGATGGCGATTGACGTTGCATTTAAACTTTAAAAGATTGTACGTGGCAGGGAAACAAGAAATCTGTAGAGAGTTCCATATGCAAGAAAAAACTGTTTGAATAGAACTGTCGTTTGCCTCTGACTAACCGTTGCATCTATCTACTGTTGCATTTGGATTTTCAACATGAAAACGATGAGATCTGGTTGCCAATCTAGTTGCGCGATTAAATTCATGCAATCGAAATACTAAGGAGAAGAGATCATCAGAACAGTTGCCATAAAAATATCCGTAAAGAAAGACGGGGGAAGCCATGTCACATCGGTAGGAAAGTGACTGAAATCAAGATGCCGAGTCTGGATCGGTTACATTACTGAATTGAATTTGTGGTGAACAGTCCCGTAAAAGAAAGCGAGCCAGAGTGGCTTGCATCTGGTGCATAGGAAAATAAGGGTCTTACCTTAACGTGTAGCATGTGGCATCGGCAAGTTTGCTCCTTGGAAATGGCATTACTCTCCCGTCTAGCCATTCCAGCATGTTATGGAGTCCTCCCCTTTTCATATAAGTGGACTCTACCAGTGTTACTTGGAGTGCTGCCGTTAAATACCCAGAGTTAGACAGTCAGGGAGAGAGGATATACGGCGAGAGAGAATATACGAACGGAGATAGAGTGAGGTAACCTCTTGTAGAAGTCAGTTACAAGCACGTAGACTCTAAGGAAGTCCTACTTCGAGACTGTATATATCTATCTGTATTTGCTACTAACCGCGTTCCTGGATTTACTAACAGTATGATTGTGTAAATACATTTTATTTCTTATATTTAATTATTGCGTTTGTCATTCCTTGGAGACCGAATTCATCTCGGAATCCACAACAAGCAGTATGTGCGATAACGAGGGTTTTTGTAAAGTTTGGCATGTTTCCACCAATAGCAAGTCGTGTGCTGATTGGTCGAACTGGAGGAGGCTATTTACCTGGGTAAATGAGAATAAAAGCGAAGAACACTGATTGGTTGGTCGACCGCGGTGTCGGCCTGATAAAAGAGGGCTGAAGCAGTGAGAAAGAAGAAAAAAACAGGTTTACAGCGTAAACGTTCCTTCTTGGAGGGATTTTCAACGCAGGCTTATCATCTCTTAGTAACGTCTCTGTCTTTAGGCAGAGTGCGACCAGGGGCTTCTCTGTCAAAGGACAGAGGGGCTACTGAGAAAATTATACTGAAGAGGTGCCCAGCCCTGGGAAGCAGCTGCCCGAGGCCGCTCCCTCGCATTACATCAGAGGGAGGGGCCGGTGCTCGCACCGAAGCCAGCGCAACCACGGTTGCGTGGGCTGAGGGCAATTTATGTCCTTGTCCCGTGCGTACGCGCTCGGGTCCCCACCTAAAAAAAGACCTTGTGTCACATCTCGTCCAAGTGGGGGGAAGGAGTTAATACAGCCTAAAAAGACAGATTTACGTTTTGAAGTGTTTGGAAAGCAAGAACGGCGGATTGAACCAGCGGTATCTTGATTTGTACAACTGATGTATTAGTAATAGAGACTCATTTAAACTTCAGAGTATTGTCAAGAATCTCCGCATATCCAGCAGGAGCAGCTGACCAAATATGGCAGCAATATTCAATATACGGGCGAATGGTAGATTTATAAATGTGCAAGACGGATTCTTACAAGAAGTCTAGTACCACACAGTGAACCAACCTTTCGAGCAGTCAATCTCGCAATTGATTCAATGGAATCACTCCACATAATGTCTGTAAAAGACGTGAGTCAAAGAAGGCGCAATGTCTGGTTCTCCTGGAGTTTATCGTCAGCCATGCTGATGTCAGTCAGAAAAAGGTTCCTTGCGGTGATTAAATGAAAGCAGTTTTTTTTTTATTAGAGGCATTATAATTTACAAGCTATTCCTTGGCCCAGTTAACCACTGATTGAATGTCCTTTTCGAGAACATATATACACACAGAACGAAAATTGCACATATATACTTGCTTAAAAGCCTCAGCTATATATGTATGTATCTTAGCTTCACATGGACAAACCTAAATGCTTGAATTACTTCTATATATATATATATATATATATATATATATATACAAGTAATTCAAGCATATATATATATATGTATATAAACATATAATATTAGGCAGTATATTAATATTGTTGATTGATTCTATGTATGATTATATATATATATATATATATGTGTGTGTGTGTGTGTGTGTGTGTGTGTGTGTGTGTGTGTGTGTGTGTGTGTAAATATATAGAAAAATAGGTAAGGACACGTTAGGTAAATGATCCGAAGTTCTTTAGTATTTTTGTTTTATTAAAAAAAACATAATAGTAGAGCCTCGAATGAACATGCTTATAAAGATAGGTAAATTTCAAGATTATTTATTTCAAAAATTTCGCTTGAAGATGAAACAGAGCTTGATACTTTAATTCAATTTAATTTTAATAATTATATTGACGTTTTTGGTTCTTGTTTTTTTTTTCATGAGAACTCTTATGTAGGGAATGAATCATATTTAAAAAAAAATAATTATATATATATATATATATATATATATATATATATATATATATATATATATATATATATATTGGCTCCTGAAAAATTAATTTCAAAATGACCTCTCTGGGGAGGAGGTGTGGTTTGTAAACAGTGACTATTATAGCTAATAGCAGACTCTTCGGCAAAAGCGAATTGAGTCACTGTCAGTCACTGTGTGTGTTTATCTAAAAATATTCAGTCGGGTTTCGATCCTAGCTAGAGGCAATCGGATACCTAGCCACACTGAAGAGCTGCGAAAGTCTCTGTGGATGACTTTAGGATATATATATCCACACACAGAAACACATATATGTATATTTTGGCAGCATGCTTTCATTAAGACATGTATCATTAAATAATTTAGAAAAGATTTGTCTACTTTTTTTAATAGTATCTCTTTGTAATTACGGACAAGTTTATTAGTACACTACTTAAAAGAAGAAAGAAAATTATCATTCATTTTATTCTGAGTACTTTCGACCTTAGCACAATATTCCTCATCAGAACTTTTTTGTTATGAGGGGATCCTATTAAAAATAAAATCAAAACTTCTTTAAGTTATTTAATGACACTTGCCTTAATATACATATAAAGAAGTAATTTATACAAAGAATTAATTAGCAATGTTAATGTGATTAATGGCGAAATTACTTCGCTAACATGACTTAACAAGACATTAATTTACTATCAATTCCTTGAAAAATACGATCTTTATATTTGAGTTGTTGTCAGATGGAATTGACGAGCCAAGTACTTTCGACAATTTCAATTTGTCATCTTCAGGGACGCAATTTAGTGTAGTTTTGACCGAAAGATTTTTTTTTTAAATATGCTATTTATTGACAGTTATATTATTTTGGGGCGTGTTATGCTACGACTCAAATCAATCGAGAATTAAGTTTGAATTTTGTAATGTGATAAATCCACGAAATCCTCTGTAAATAATATTCACAATCTTAATCTTAAATTCTGTGGAAAACTACAAAGACATTTTACTCTACTAATTCGATTATACTTAAGTCCATGTCACTTTAACTGAAAACATATATAACAACAAAGTTTCGTGGATTTTTTTACAGAAACTATAGTAAAATAATTGTCGGACTTAGTCCATTTCATAATATTTGTTTACATTAAAATATGCTTGGAGCAGATGTGATCGTTCGAGAAAGATCGTGGTAAATTTGTTGTTTAAAAACAGTAATTTGGACTTTGCTAACCAGACTCTTCCTCTGTAACTGAATGGTATAGCACGTCGAATCAAATAGGTCACAAGTTCGATTCTCAGAGATTCAGACCTGTAAATCTAATTAATACTGTTTATTATAAACAGAGCATTTACTTAAATAATTGTATCTATAAAATAACGTATGAACAGAAAAATATATAGATATTTTAAATGGCTTTTATTTCTAATCAGACATTCTTATTCAGATTTACTATAGTGGATACTTCGTATTTGAAATAGCCGCCCAATTTTCATTTATTCAACAGTAGGT